ACCCCCCCCCCCCCCCCGGGCCCCGCCCCAACCACGCGACAAGCGCGCCCTCGCCCCGGGCGATGAGGTAGAGGGTCCTCCGGCTCTCCCAGGGTGCGGCGCCCGGTACAGCTGCCTCCCTAGGCTGCTAAGAAGGCCCTAGAGCCGTCGCCCCGCCTCGCACCAATCCCAGCCCAGGTAGGCTCCGAGGAGTCCAATCACCGTCCGAGAGGAGTGGGCCTCGCTGCTCCGACGCGCGCCGGCCTCCAGAGTGGCACCGCTACCATCCTCTAAGCTCAGTAAGTTCCACATCCTCGTCTGGCCATTCGTGCGGCCGGACGAGAGGGACCAGGGGATGGCAGCAGGCAGGGCCGCGAGGAGGAGTCTGGGAGTGAGCGGCGTAGTGTGGTCGGCGTCACCATTTCACGAAGATGAGCTCTGGGGACACCAGAGAGGCCTCAGGACCTTTGCGAAGGCCTCTCTGAGTGCCGCAGGATGGGATCCGCCCCAAACTCTGATAGGGGTCTCCCATTGGTGCGTGGTACTGTCAGTCGGACGAGGTGTAGCCCGAAGCATGCTGGAACTTGTAGGCAGCCTCCTCTTGTCAGCAGAGGCCTCCGCGAAGCGGGAGAAGTCCTGCCAGGTCCCTTTCTCGGTCTTCTGAGCATTTTCTGTCCTGGAATTCCTCAGGTCTAGCATGCTGGGTACCAGAACCCCCACAGCTGGCTAGTTTCTGGTATTTCACAGGGTAAGGGTACCACCGGCTCTGGTTCTAGGAGCCTAACCGAAAAGTTTAGAACGGCTGCCCCTTGGAGCTCAGATGAGTTCCTGGGGTGCTTGCAGCTTTTGATTCACCGGCTCAAGGCGGGACGGAACAGGACCTAAGAGTTAGATACTTCTCAACCAGAATTCTATAGTAACGGAAGAGGGTGTGGGACGACAACAAGCAGAGAAAATTTGGTAGCTGCTTTTTACAATCAAGGGGCGCTCTTGACTGGTCACAATGGGACAGTGGAGGATGTCAGTGAGAGACAAGTCCTTTGTAGGCCCGACAACTAGTTAGGAAGATGGGCATACTCGATATCCTGAGCATTATTGTTTCTTTGCTCCTTGAAGAATTTTGCTAGGAGTTTCAGATTCATTCATATGGAAGCTGCTTCCTAAACGTGGGGTCTGAAACCTTGATCTCTGAATTCCAAAAATGGTAATAACATGCCTCCTTAGCTACTGCGGTTCTCATTCTTCAGCAGCTTAAGCTCTGTCTGTCTCACTGTTTTCCTGTCTACAGCCTTCCTTATTTGATTTCTGTCTATGGACAGCTGTTTCAGGGACCTCTTTATTAGAGTTGTCATACTGTATTCATACAGTCGGAGCCTACACTTTAATGAAGTATGGACTCTAGGTAGAAAGGGCCTCAACCTTTGAAATATGAACTTAAAAAATCATCTGGCTATTTCTAAAATGTGTTGTGTTGAAGATGTAGCTTATTGATGAGTCTTTCCTTAGTATGTATGAGGTTCTGTATTCTGTCTCTAGCTCATGTGTGTAAACACAGACAAATACACACACACACACACACACACACACACACACACACACAGAGAGAGAGAGAGAGACATAAAAATAAAAAATATATAAATAATTTATACAACCCCAAAATGGTCTGGTTTGGTCTCTTTTGTGAGGGTCTTGAGCTCTGGTTCTAACTTTACAATAAGTAAAATACCTGCAAATGACTGAAAAGCCACTTTTATATAAAAGTCATGTGACTTCCCAATGTAAGATGCCTTCAAAGGTCTTAGAAATGAAAATGGTCCTTACCTAGATTTCCCAGCCTTTTGTTCTCTGCACTGCCCTAACTGAATCCTGCTGCACTCCAGTATGCTGAAGCACATCACAAAAACTCTATGGACTTGGCTTTGCTATGTATTCTTGCTCTGAACTTTACCCTCCTTAGCTATACTTTGCTTCATGTCTTATTCATGCCGTATTATATTTCCCATAATGGGTATTTAACTTTGAGAACTGCTTTATAATTTATATGCATTATCTCATTTAATCTTCTAACAGCTTTTGAGAGAACAGCCTAGAAGAGGTCTAACGGTCAACCTGAGCTAACACCCGGGACAGAAGCACAGTCTTAGGATGTCATGTCTAAGATTCTGCTGCAGTCGCCACTACCCTTCCCTTTCTCGGCTTCTTATGCAAACTGAGTGCCTACCTACCTTCTATGGAGGGAGAAAATGGGGCTATCTGGAGAACGTCTTCACTTTCTGCTTAAAAGTCTGTGTCTCCTCCTCCTTTTCTCATGACACTGCTGTTTTTATCCCAACCTCTTCTTACTTCTCCTTATTCGCTGACGCTTTTCAGTCAGTCCTCTACATTTTATTTCTACCGAGGACTGTGATCGGGGCCTGAAGGAAAACAAGTCCTCCCTTGATCCAGTTTCCCTCAGCCTAATTAATTTCAGTGGCTCTCAGCACTGCATTTCTTTCTTTTTTCTTTCTTTCTTTTTTTTTGTTTTTTTTTTGTTTTGTTTTTGTTTTTGTTTTTTCGAGGCAGGGTTTCCCTGTGGCTTTGAAGGCTGTTCTGGAACTTGCTCTTGTAGACCAGGCTGGTCACAAACTCACAGAGATCCTCCTGCTTCTGCCTCCCAAGTGCTGGGATTAAAGGCATGCTCCACCACTGCCTGGCTAGCACTGCATTTCTTAAAGGGTAACCTTGTGTCTGTTATCTCATCGCCAACAATCCTCTCTCTTTGGTGTGTAGATCATGAGTGACAATATTGCCTGACTTTCCCTAATCCTCAATCCTTTTAGTATTTGCCATGTTGTGTAGTTGGGCTGCTTTTATACTCTCCTTTGTTAGTCCCCCACCCCTCCATTTTGTTCTGTATCTTTCCCATCTGTATTTCCTCTTAAAGAATTGAGTCCCAGACCTATAATTCCAGTACTGACTGACCTCTCCCCCAAGTTTTTGTCCTAAGTGTCGATTATACCTCCACTCCAAAACATGCCCCATCCCTTAACTCCCACCTGAAATGTCTCTGGGCTTCTCTATTCATTAAATTCTGCACTCTGAATCTTCCCATGTCATTCTCCTAGGGGAAGCTCATTCTCCCAGCCTGAAATCTTATAGCCCTTGTGGCCTGCTTTCTCATTTTCCAGATCCAGGCAGGCATCAGTTTCTTTCCATTCCCCTTGCCAACACCTTACTGCATAGAATTTTTAAGACTGTACAAGGCTGTAGCACTCTCACATCAAGTTGCCACATTAATTTCTGAATCATCCTTGACTTCCTCTTATAAAATAACTAATTTGACCTCCCAGGTTAATTGTAAAGCCATGTTAAGCCATGATGACTGTACAGAAGTCAGGAAGAGCCAGGGAGGGAAGATGACCTATCGGGAGATCAGGAAAGCCAGAGAAGGAAGATGACTTATTGGGAGATCAGGAATGCTGGGTCCAACACTGCTTGGTTCATCCAACAGACATTGAGTGAACATGTAGAAAGGGAAACCTAGGTTCTGGCAGACTTACCTTTCACCACTACATCAGCCTCTATCAGTCACTATCACTTTACCTCCTGATTTCTCCTGAGACCTCTAATCTAAGTCCAGTCCCATCAACTTCTGCCTTCATCCTCTCCTTCCTGGTGGATCTTTCTATGGGTACACACTTACACTTCAGTTTCTCCATCAGGTCTATACTCCTTAGCCTCCCTTTTCTCTTCTTCCTTGCTAAGGGTCTGGAGAAGAATAGTGTGGCTTGGAATGAAGTGTCTCCCATAGGCTCATGTCTGAACCACTCAGTGTTAGTCGGTAGAGTAGTTTAGGGACATTGGCAACTTTTATTTGGTAGAACTTCACTGGAGGAAATGGCTCACTGTGGCTGGGTCGGGAGGGGCAATTTGAGATTTTATAGCTGGCCTACTCCCATCACGCTCTCCGCTTCTTAATTTGCCCAGATGTAAGCAAGCAGCCTCATATCCCCATCAATGCTGAGAGCCACTAGGCTGCCATATTTCCCCACCACGATGGACTGTATCTCAAACTGTGAGCCAAAACAAATGCTTCCTTCCTGTGTGCTTGCCACCATGAGAAAAGTAACATTAAAATAGTCTATACTTGCTTCTCAAGTTCTTTTCCTTCATTTGTCCCCCTAAGGCTGTGCAGTCTGGCATTTTTCGGTCAACCTTCCTTGGAAACTGCTCTTTTACAAATGGCACCGGCAGCATGCCATGTGCTGCTTTTCAGTTCTGATTTAACTGACTTTGCTGTCCATTAAAACACAACTTTCTGAAACTGTCCCTCCCCCTCTCTTGCTCTCCTCTCTTAAGCCACAGTTCAGTTTCTTCTGCTTATCTCTTAAATGTTACTTGAGTTCTTAGCCTTCATCCACCCCCTCCCATTCCAAAGCCTCCTCATTCTCCCTGATAATTATGGGGGTAATACTTGGGGTGATGTGTAGAAAAAGCATCAGTCTTCTTGTTTCATGTGGGCTGGGGGTTCTCTCACTGGTACCACCATCCCCTTCATGAGACTTCTGAATTCAGAGACTTGGTGGTGAAGGAGTGATGTGGACGCGTGGCTGGAAGGAGAGTAACTCAGACAAGGGCAGCAGCGGCTTACCTTGTGCCATCTGCAACAGCAGAAGGCCAGGGTATCAGGGGCAGCAGAAATGAACTAGTGGAGGGACAGAGTAGGGATTTCGGCAAGACCTTACCTTGGCAGCCAGCTTCATTTCTTGCACTGCCCCTGCGTTACACAGAATGTACCTGAGCTTCAGCCTTTTAAAATAACTAACTGTACCAATCTCCTTGCTCTTGTTAATGTAGCTTGCCTGTGCCCTCTGCTTAGACATCTGCTTCTCCAGGAATCTTCCATTCCCCAAGTCTTTGCTATGTGTGTCTCTGTGGGCTACCCATATGTGCTGGAGAGATTTTTGTCAGTGTGATACAAACTGGGTCATCTGGGAAGAGAGAACCTCAGTTGAG